CCTGCCCACCCCCTCCACACCCCCAGGGCATCGCCCAGCGGTGCCACCCACTCCACATCTCTCCAGGTCTTGGCTCAGTTTGGCGTTTCTCTGCCAGGACCAGCCTTCCAGCCACAGGGCGTTGGGGGCTGTTGTGTTTGGGGATTTTTCTTTTGGTAGGACCTTAATGTCCCGTTGTCAACCATCAGTAAAATCCTCCCTCCCCAGGTCATGGCAGAGGTGAGGGGTGTTTTGCTTTGCATAGTGACAGCTAAGAGAAGCCCAAACCAGAGCCAACACCTACATCCAAAGCAGGAGCTGTTTGGAGAACCACCTCTGCTGTCTGGAACCACCTCTGCTGTCCTGTGGCATCTCTTGCATCAAGCACCAAGTGTTACAAAGGTGGCTGTGCCCCCAGCTCGCCGTGGGGAGAGCAGCAGAGCTGCAGACCCTGCAACTCACTCCTAACTCCTCATCACAAAGGCCTGGACACCAGCAGCCCTTCGGTGCCACCTCTCCTTCGCTCCTCCCCAACAAAGACACCAGACCTTGGGCAGAAACAGCTCTTTAATGACCCTACAAAACCCAGGCTGGTGGTTCCTCCTCGCCGCCAGTGCTCAGCAGAAGAGGTGCAGGACTTTGCGGAAGAAGTTCCTGAACTCGGCGTTGAACACGGTGTAAATGATGGGGTTGAGAGCACTGTTGACATAACCCAGCCAAGTGACAGTGCTGGTGACTTGGGTGGGAATGGTGCAGGACTTGCAGAGAGCCCTGGTAATGTGGACCACAAAAAAAGGTGTCCAGCAGAAGAGGAAAGCACCTGCCAGGAGGATGACAAAGAGAGAAAGTGATGTGAGTGGTAACGAGGGGTTAATGTAGCAAAGGCAGCCTGGGCTGGAGGAGAATGGTGACAGCTCAGTGGGCTCAGGGGAGATGAGCAGAGGTGCTGACACATGGAGCTGGGCAGAGAGATTTAGGATGTCTTTCTCATCCTAAATGTTGCTGAGAATTCATCTAAGTGATGTGTTGTCTTGGATTCGCAGTCAGATACGGGAGCCAGAGGTTTACCCAAGGAGAGGCTGGATTGTAGACTGTACCTAGGTCCCTTCCCCGGGTGGTGTTTGTCTGGCTCAGAGGGACACAGCTAACTGCTGGATAAACACCCTCTCAGGAGTGATGGGTACAGCAGGTCTGAACCCACAACCAGGGTGTCCTGTGGGGCATGGGGCAGAGAGGGAGGAGGACCGGGGACAGGCGCCGGGGCTGGACCAAGGGGGAGGTGGCTTTCATCTCACCCTCACCTCCCCCAGCCCGGGGACATCCCCGCTCTCTGCTCATCACTGAGGTGCCCAGGGGGTGGTGGGAGTCCCTAAAAGGTGTCCCCCCCTTGCCAGCCGCCCCTGAGTGCCACTCACCCACGACGACGGGCAGCACCCTCATGGCCTTCTGCTCCCGGCCGTTGATCTTGGCGCGCTTGCGGCTGGGCCCGGGGTGCGGGTACATGAGGTGGGGGTAGGAGACCGTCTGGATCCCCTTCTCCATCACACAGTCCCCGGGGGGTCCCTGCTCCGGCTCCAGCCCGCCCTGCCCTCGCTCCAGGAAGGTGGAGGGGTGATAGAGCTTCCTGTGGGGCCCG